AGTTCGGTCCGAGGTTCGAATCCCGCAAACGGGCTGGCTGCAGGGGTGTTTCCGTAGTTTTTCCCATGTGTAACGTGTATACGAGCCAGTTACTCTTAGAAAGTCCTCCACGAAGGCATCCCTTCCTGTAGGCAGATAGCCCTCGAGGCTTTGCCATAATCACACACACACTCCTACGCAACAATAAAAGTGATATACAGCGCATTGTTTCTGCGCAATTTCAGTTAGCTAAAATTCGGACTCCTAGCATAGCATACACGTTTTTTGATCCCGTATGGTCGGTAATTCATCATTTTCGATTTTGATTTTGATTTGTGATACAGTCTAACAAAATAAAATTGGTTGTTGTTGTAAAGTTGTCTTTAATATATAGTCGCACCAGCGCATCTCAAAACATCTGGTCACGATCGGCCGCAGTTAATTATAATTTTAAAAAATAACTAATGGAGACATTTCTACATTGAACAGAAAACGTGGCGTTATTAAAGCGCAAATAACCAAGTTAAAGTTGTCTTGTCGGTGGAAAAAGTGATGATTTTGGTTTCGAACAAATAGAAGTATTTAAAGAAAAAGTGCACAAGTTAAATAAACAAATTCAACTTCGCTTGAATTATTACAAAGTGTGCAAAAATGAAGAAATATCAGACATGGATGGTATTTTTGAAGAAATCGAGACAGATATTATCAATGTTGAGGTAAGCCTCAAATGTCTTTATAATTTATTATGTAGTAAGAATAATAATGAATATTTAAATAATGTCCCAGAAACAAGAAGTAATTCATTGAATTATAAATTCACTGAAATAACATTGCCTAAATTTTCTGGTAATTTCGAAGACTGTAATTTATTTAAAAGCTAATTTGTAATTTTAATTTCATCTAATAAACAATTAACAGACTCTCAGAAACTGTTTTATTTACAATCTTGTTTGGTTGGCAATACAAAGCAGATACAAACAATAGATGATACATTTTCTTCCTTATTTAAGGCACTTGATGAAAGATATGATAACAAGAGACTGGCTGTAAATTCTCATATCAATGAATTACTTTCTATTGAAAAAATAGTTTATGAAAATCCTAAAGATTTACGCTTATTAACTGATAAAGTTCAGAAACATTTAAGAGCATTAAAAGTTATGGAATTAAATATGGATAAATTAAGCGAAGCTTTGCTGATTAATATTATTCTCAACAAAATAGATAAAGAATCACGTAAGCAATTCGAAATGTCATTAAATAGTAATGATTTATGTGAATGGGAATCTTTCATGACATCTCTTCAAAAGCGATGCCAGATGTTAGAAAAATGAAAAACAAAACTGTATTTGCAAAACCAAAACAAAACATTCCTCAGAATAATGTTCGATCACTAGTGACAAAAACAAATAATAATAAATATATGTGTCCGGTTTGCAAATATAATCATCCAATTTTTAAATGTGAAAAGTTTCTAGCATTAAATCCAATGGAACGATACGAAATGGTTAAAAAGCTTTCTTTGTGCAATAATTGTTTACAGTCAAATCATAAAGTATCTTCCTGTAAGTCTAGACACTTTTGCTCAATTCGCAAATAAAAACACTCTTCATGGGAATGAAACTCATCGGAATGAAGCTTCTATGTATGTCGTCTGCAACAAGTGGAGGAAAGCTAAGTGAAGACACGCCCTCCCTAGAAAACTGCAAAACCGAAGTTGTTTTGAATAGCAATGAATCTATGGAAAAACTTATTGGCGTGTCTTTTTTCGAAAAATAAAACTGCTCTCCTTTCAATTGCGGTTGTTTGGGTTAGAAATATTTATGGCCAATTGGTTAAAGCAAGAACTGTTCTTGATTCAGGATCACAGTCAAATTTTGCTTCTAATGAATTCTGTGAGCGTGCAAATTTAAAAAGGGAAAGAATAAATATTTCTGTTTCTAGTTTAGATGAGCAAATTTCAAACATTAAATCTCGTACTTTTGCTTCTATTTTTAATGGAAATAATTCGTTCTCTGCTTCATTAAATTTTTTAGTTGTAAATAAAATCACAGATTTAGTACCTTCTACAAAATTAAATATTGAAAATATTGATATTTTTTATACATCAAATTTGGCTGATCCAGAATTTGTAACTCCATCTAGTATAGATCTGCTTTTAGAAGCAGAAATATTTTAGGACGTTTTTATTAATGGACAATTTAAATCTTCTACGATATCACTCGTTTTCAGAAATTCTGTGTTTGGTTATATAGCTACTGGTTCCTTGAAAACATCCCTTGAAAATTGTCAGAATTATTGTTGACTTCTCGGCGATTTTGACACTATTAATAGATTGGTAGAAAAATTTTGGTTAGTGGAAAATATTGGTGAAGAAAAGCCAATTCGGTACTTTTCCGTTTTGCCGGCGCAAGCGATAAAGTCGCCAATAATGGTACAACCCATGCCAAACGAAATATTCTCGCTGGTAACCTTTTACGCCTCATTTTCAAAACAAGTCGCAGCTTTTTCTTATCAGATTGATTGTTTCTTTCAATACTGGCATATCATGACATAGAATTTTTATCAGATAGTTCAGTTTTATGTTTAAGGCAATTTTCGGTAATTAAGTTAATTAGGATGCAATCACAGCACTTACCCGAAGCCGAAAAAATATAGAAAAGGTAAAGTCAAGGTTAAATTCATCACTTCTAATGAGAATGCATTAGCGAAGTAAAGCGCTGCAGTTTTACATAATTCTGAGTAAGCTATTCGTACGAATTGAAATATTTTCTTGCATTTAAACTTGTGTTCCAAATTAAGATTTAACTTGAAATTAATGTGGATAATTACTAAGAACATTAGATTTTTGTAGAGTAGTTTCGTGAGATGAGATCGCTTGGGGTCACGTGATGATAGAACCGGCGCATCAGGATGTTGAACAATGAAAGCATAGTAAATTCTGAATGTCTTTTTACAAATTTGTTGTCTTTATTTATTGGCTTTTCATAAAATTTTAAGCGATATTAAAATGTTTATGCCTTCTTTTTTAAAAAGAATTCTTAGAACTAATATTTTTTTAATATTTTTTATGTGTATACTGTATGTTGTCGCCAATAAAGTCTGCTTGGCGAGATTTGCGCCGGCGAAACGGAAAAGTACCGCCAATTCTTAGTCAAGAAGAATTCTGTGAACAACATTTCAAAGACACTTACAGACGAAATGAAGATGGTAGATTTATCGTAAAAATGCTTATGAAAGACGAAAAATTAGGAAATTCAAAGCACTTAGCCATCATTAGACTCAATCAATTAGTTAAACGTCTTAGCAAAAACGCTACATCGCAACATTTATATCAAGATTTCGTAACAGAATATGAAAATTTGGACCATATGGAAAAGGTCGATGATAATTCAAAAGGGTAACTTGAATATTACCTCCCCCATCATGGAGTATATGGACCAGATAAGTCAACTACAAAATTAAGAGTTGTGTTTAATGCTAGTGCCCCAAGCTCAAATGACTTAAGTTTGAATGATTTGCTTTTAGCGGGAGCAGTCCAAGAAGATACTTTTGATATTTTTGTGAGATTTAGAAAGCATCAAGTTACAGTTATCATGGATATACAAAAAATGTACCGCAAATTTTGTTCGATGAATCCTAAAAAGACTTACTTCGAATCTTATGGAAGAGAAACCTTAGTGACTCACCTGTGACATATAGATTCAAAACGGTGATTCATGGTACTAAACGTGCTCTATTTTTAGCCAAGTTGCATATGATGAAATGCATAAATATCCTGAAGCTGCCAAAGCTGTCTCGTCAGACTGTTATGTTGATGATGTCATCTCTGGTTCATCAAATGGGAATCAGCACGGGAATTGAAAAATCAGCTTATACAGCTTTTCCGTAGTTGTGGAATGACATTGCATAAATGGAACTCTAATTCTCCTTAACTGTTGGATAGCCTTTCTACAAGCTCTGAACTTTCATTCTCCTCCAAAAGTGATAATGTGGTTAAAGCTTTAGGTGTTACAGGGAATTCTCAGACGGATAAATTCAGCTTTAAAGTCTCAACCAAGGAGAAGTCATCATATACCAAAAGAGACATTTTATCGACAAGTGCCAGACTTGATGATCCCTTAGGGCTGATTGGTCCGGTAATCACCACAGCCAAGATATTTCTACAGAAATTATGGGTTCAAAAACTGAGTTGGGATGAATCACTTTTTTGCAACTATTGCTCACGAATAGCAACAAAAAGTTTCCAATTTAAAGACTGTTGAAAACATAAAAATTAATCGTTGCATCCTCTCCAAGCAAGATTTCACTCATTGGATATGCAGATGCTTCGGAAGCCGCTTATGGTGCAGTTGTCTACTTGAATTATGTCGACGAAGATCACAGCTCGTCTAGCTAGCAAATGTCATATGGCTCCATTGAAAACCTTATCTATTCCAAGATTGGAACCGTGTGCATGTTTGTTATTGGCTCATCTGATTTCGAAAGTTAGCAACTCATTGAAGATGTATTTAGATGACATCATTCTGTGCACTGATTCAATGATAGCACTGTCATGGTTGAAGACTTCTCCTCATCTTTTGAAGACTTTTGTTGCAAACAGAGTCTCCAAAATCCAAAGACTAGTATAGCCTCGTTTCTGGAAGCAAGTATCATCAGCAAATAATACGACAGATCTGATTTCCCGAGGTGCTTATCCGCATGAACTTGTGACATCTTCCTTGCAGTGGAATGGTCCTGAACATATAGAACTTAGCAATGCTTCTTTATTTGAACTTGACAAGACTCTCATAGACTCTCCTGCCTATCAGGATGAACTTAAGAAACCTTTAGACATTAATTTGAACTGCAATATAAACTAGTTTTGGAATACCTTTTCTGAATCAACAAATAATTATGTTAAACTAATTAGAATCTCAAGTCTTATTTTCAGGTTTCTGTCCAATCTGAAAGGTCCAGTTAAGAAAACAGGCCCCATTAGTAGTACTGAGTTCTAAGATGCGGAAATGCACTTGATAAAAATGGTTCAGGTAATAGAATTTTCAGAGGAGATTAAATCACTTCAAGGTGAAAGAGTAATCAAAAGTCAGGTAAAAACTTTAAATCCATTTTTAGATGGAAAAGGTATATTACGTGTTGGCTGTTTCTTAACTCATGCCGTAATTAATTATGATTCTAAACATCAAATTTCATTGCCAAAAAATCAAAAGCTTACTAAGCTAATATTTATGCATTATCATTTGAAAAATTTTCATGCTGGTCATCAAGCATTGTTACATTTTGTTAGGGAAAGGTTTTGGTCCATTGGTGGCAAGGACTTAGCTAGAAAAACAGTTCACGAAGGCTTAATTTGTTTTCTTCATAACTATCCCCTATCTTATCAGGACTTGTATTCCTCTTCACTTGCTTTGGAAACATGAACTGTCCTGACTCGGAACAGGGAGCTTACTCAAGCTATGTTCAATAAATTGTGAAGTAGACAATACACACAGGAAGGGTATACGAAACCCTTTATTTTTCTATCTTTACAGAGATTTCCGGAACTTCGGAATACAGAGACCAACCACTTGTGGTCTGAACGTAAGAATATAAAACTACTAACTAAAACTCTAACTAAAACTAACTTTGGATTAATATACAAGTGCCTAACTTTAAGATTGGCCGTTATTTAACAAAATCCGTATGTAGTACAGAGAGCTGCTAAAACTACGATACGTTTAAAATTATCAAGAGGACTAAACCTCTGGCCGTGAAGGCAACCAGCAACCGAGTAAAACTACTATGGCAAGCGGCTTGCAATAACTCTTTCCTCTCTCTTGCGCAAGACAAATTTGCATAAATAAGTTAAAGCTTTTGATTCTGGCCGGAAGTAGAAAATAAGAAGTGATAGTAAAGATTAGTAAAACTTAGGATCCTTACATACTTCCCGCCAGAGTTAATTAGTTTGAAACTGAGGTCTAAAACGACCTTGTTGAAAACTTTTAGCTCTAGAATCTAACGCGAGGCCAATCTTTTACAAACATTTCTCACTAGAAACTATCTAATCTAGAAATTAAAAAGTCGTTTTTACATTATCAACTCCATGGACAATTACTTTTCATCTGTACTGCATCTATAAACAGGAGTTTCTTAGTTGAATCTGGTTCCTTCCAGAGATCTGGAAGGAAAACTAGTTTAATGAAATGTTACACAATCAAATGGCAAGTAACATGAATATTATATTTCTCTTTAAACATTCTTATTTCATTCATGACTTTATTTAATTATCTCTCCCCGTGCTCTCTGACATGTGTTGTAAAAAAAAAACACCAAACACGAATGTGTTTATGTATACGTGTTCAACACTACCGCCTGCAATCAAAACACTAACGTGTTAAAATTCAACATAACAAGACCTCAGAACACACCTTATATTCATCCTAAACCCTGAGGTACTATTCTGAAAAGTGGCTAACTCTGAAGTGTAGCGTCAGAGAGCCTAACTACATTCATTCAACCTTTAACACATATTCACAATAATTTGCTCTTTTTACAGTCACACCAATAAGTTAAAATTTTTGGCATTACTCTAATATTTTCACTTTATATACATATCACAGTATTTCTTAACTTTTAACTTTAATAACAGTTACAGATATCACAAGATAACAGTTCACATTGTATATAAGGACATATTAACATGCCGTTAATTTTACGCATTTTAAAAAACATACATTAGTAGTACATTGTTTGTTAACTTCTATTCTTTTCCAAGCAAGTGCCAATTCTTCTACATTGAAATACTACATTTCAAAAGTCTTTCAGACTAAAACTTCTTTCTTGCCAGAATCTTTTAAATAAAATTTTATACAATAATTTTTACAATTTTCTTAAGGTACCTTTCTCAAAGATTATCAATGCTTTTACAATATTCAAGTATTTACACATTCCTATTATACATTAATTTTAGTTTTACTCGCGAGTAATTGAAAAACATAATACCAAAATAGGTAACAACTCATTTCTCGCCTTTTTGGCGATAAAGGTAGGCCTCACATGAGGTAAAACTTCTTAAATTCTGCCACTTGCAGTAAGAATGAAAAATTAATTTAAAAGTTTCAAAGTAACATAAAGTTTTACTTATCTTTGTGATATTCAGACATCCTTTTTTCTGCCCAGTCCTGGAAAGTGGCGAAGACTACAGTCTGGTTGATCTTCCGTTTTGTGCGGGGTCGCCTTTCGATTCCTTCCTCCGTGAGCTTTCTTTTTCTTCCAGTTCGGTCACCCTTGAAGACCTTCTTTTTAGCATCTGCTTGTGGTCTCGGCCGTTTAATGGCAGCTGGTCTTGGCGGAACCGGGACAACTCTCTCTCGTTGTTGCCTGGATCTCGTTGCTGGCTGTTCAAAATTTTCTTGCTTCTTTGCATCTGCAGCTGGTTTTCCTTCATCAATTCGTCGACATTTGCTGCGTAGATCCTATCCGATGGGTAGATCTTCCGTTTTGGAGCCGTGGTTATAGTTGCTGTCCATTTCTCCTGGCTCTCTTTGCATTAGTCGTACTTCTCCCTTCTTCATTCTGGGGGTGTGGTCGTGCCTCTCTTTTCTGGTTGGTGGAACGGCTTCTTTTTCTTGTTACCTTCAGTTTTCCAACGGGGGAACTTTCTTTTCAATTGCTCCTGTCCACTCATGGCTTGCCCTTGTGATTGTCGTTGTTCCACCTCTGGAGATTGTGCCTGCCGTGCCGGATCCTGCAAAAGATCTTTAAATATTGGCATTTTATTACGATTATAAAATGGTTTTATCTGGTCAACGTTTGCGGTGCAGATTTCACCATTCCTGGCTTTTAACACCACTACAGCCTGAGTTACTTTTTCTATGACATATGGTCCTTCAAATCGTGGATAAAATTTGGCAGTTTTATCTTCTGGTGCTGAAGAAAGTGAATGCTTAATTTTTAACACTTCATCCCCTACTTTATAAGTTACTCCCCGTCGTTTCATATCATAATACAGCTTCTGTTTTCTTTGTGCTACTTCAGTGTTCTTTTTTGCTTCTTTAATTAATTTTTCTATATCGCCCATTTTAAATTCTGGGGCTCTTTGTTGAACATAAAATAATTTATCTAACGGCGTTATAATCTTTCTGCCTAAAAATAACTCAGCAGGAGTTTTGCCCGTCGTATCATGTTTTGCGGTCCTAAGGGCGAAAGCTAATTGCTAATTCATTGACATAGTTATCCCAGCTTTTATGAAAATTTTTAACATAACTACGGATAATTTTCACTATATTTCTATTGACCCGTTCCGCTATATTTGATTGCGGCCGATACGGGACCATTTTTAAATGACGTATGCCCAGTTTTTGGCACATGTCTTCAAATATATTACTTACAAATTGAGGACCATTATCCGATATAACTTTTAGGGGCGCCCCGTATTTTAAAATATATTTATTTAAAATAGAATCAGTAACTAATTTCGCGGAGGCTCGTTTTAAGGGAACAATTTCGGTCCACTTACTAAAATGATCAACCATAACAAGGAGATACCGACTTTTATTTAACTGACTTTTCGGGAAAGGGCCCAATAAATCGATGCCAATTATTTCATTTGGAAATTTGATTTAATGCTATTTAGAAACCCAGCCGGGCGGAAATTAATATAATTAACTGCTTGATATGTTGGGCAGGACTGGACATACGCCCTTGTTAACTTTTGCAGCTCAGGAAAATAAACTGCTTCGCGTACGCGTTGGATGGTTTTTCGAATACCAGCATGAGAAGCTAAAGGGGAGTCGTGTAACTCCTGCAGTATATTTAATCTAAGACTAGCTGGGATAACAGGTCGAAATTCGTTGTTGGAATTCGTAGTTTTTGTATAAAATAATAGACCATCTATTAGTTCGTAATGGGCCGCCGCCCTATTTCTTATCGCCACAATATCTTGGTGGCTAAAATTTTCAGGATCCTTTAAATAATCATAAATATTTTTAAATTCAGGATCCTTACCCAGTTCGGTTATTACAGTTTCTCGGGAATGTATCGTACATGCTGTGAGCATTGCCACCTTTACAGTATTACCTTCTTCATCTATTTTTATTCTGGATAGGGCATCTGCTACGATATTTTCCTTTCCGGGGGTGTGCTTAATTACCAAATTATACTCTTGTAACTTGAGTGCCCATCTTATTAACCTTGGGGATAAGTTTTTCCCTGAGTACAATCTAGTTACCGCCGCATGATCAGAATACACTGTTATTGGCGCCCTTCCAAAATAGACTCGGAACTTTTGCACTGCTAACAGAACTGCAAGTGCCTCTCTCTCAGTCGCGGAATAATTTCTTTGTGTTTGATTTAAAGTTCTACTAAAAAATGCCACGGGCTGCTGATTTTGCGAAAGTACCGCTCCTACCGCATAATCCGAAGCATCCGCTGAAATTTCTAAATTCTCATCGTTTTCAGGAAATTTCAAAACAGGGGCTTGCGTTAATGCTTGCTTTAATTTTTCGAAAGCACTATTGGCTTCGGCCGTCCACGAGAATCTTGCCTTTTTCCTTTTTAATTTTAACAATGGTTCAGCAATAGCTGCAAAATCTTTTATAAAGGACCTATAATATGAACAAAGTCCTAGAAAAGAAGAGAGCTTCTTCGCCGTATTTGGCGGCGGATGATACTTTTGCACAGCGATTATTTTTGATTCGTCCGTCTCGATTCCTTTCTGAGATATTTTGTAACCTAAGTATTTTAATTCAGGGGCTGCAAATTTGCACTTTTCGACATTAACTTTTAGACCGGCCTCATTTAATAATGAAAACACCTGTCTTAAATCCTGTACATGTTGGTCCAGATTATCACTAGTAATAATGATATCGTCTAAATAGATAAATGTGGTCTTTCCTAGAACAGGCCTTAGCACAATGTCCATACATCGCTGAAATGTTGCCGGTGCCCCTGAAAGGCCAAACGGCATACGCAAGAATGCATAAGTGCCAGACTTGGTTATAAAAGCAGTCTTAGGCACATCTTCTGGTTTAACACCTATTTGAAAATAACCAGTCGTTAAGTCTAACGTAGTCATGTATTTCGTAGAAGTTATGTTCCTTAAAATTTCTTCAATAATAGGTAACGGATATACCGGATATTTAGTCATGGAGTTTAATTTACGATAGTCAATTGCAAAACGCCACCTTTTCGGATGTGTTACTGGATAGTCATTATTTTTCTTACATAACACAACCGGGCTAGCATAACTACTTGAGATGGGCGTTATGATCTTTTTACGTAACATATCTCGAATGTGCCACTCTATAATTTTTTCTTTATTCTTATCGTACCGATATGGTTTGTGGCGAACTGGCAGTGAATCTCCGGTGTCGATACTATGGTTAGTAACTTGAGTAAATCCGGGAATATCACTAAATAACGAAGCAAATTCACTTACCACTTGTCGAATTTTTTGTTGCTCTCCCTTAGGCAGGTGGTTGAGATTTAACGTGGGTGGTTCTCTTTTTTCTTCCAGAACTGGTTTCATGGTCAGCTTAAGGGACGCTTGGTTAAAATCCAGCGTTGCTTCTGCCTCTGAAAGAAAATCTATCCCTAGAATCACATGTGCTTGTTGCTCGTCCTTAATGCGAATATATAATGGTATTTTACCCATGCATTTGCATCTTTCTCACTGCGCAGCTAACACTGTCGTATTATCCGAATTATATATTCTGTATCTACGGAAATACTTCCTAAAAAAATCTTCTGCCACACAGGAACACTGCGCGCCTGTATCCAGGAGTGCGGTGGCTGGGATGTTGTTCACCAAAACTTCAATCTTTGGAAGAGTCAAATTTTTCACAATAACTGTATTTAACTTGAAGGAAGAGGGGTTTTCTTGGCCTTCGGATTTCCGCACCCTCCCGTCAGCAGAAATCCGTTTTAGTTTAAATTTTCTTTCTTCCTTTCCATGCCTTCCTTCTTTTTCCGCTGGCCTTCAGACTTTTTTTCTGGCTTACTATTGAACTGTCGACGTTCGCCGGTTGTTTTTGGATACTCAGGTTTCCTTGCCCACTGATTCGATTTGCTTCCGTTGCTGTGGTCTTGGCGCACCAAATTGGCTTCGTTGCTCATACTGGCGTCTTCTTTCAATGTCCGCCGTTCTTCTACTTTCAAACTGGATTGCTAGCTCAAATAACTTTTCCAGTGTAGTCGGATTCCTTAATTCAATAAAGTCTTGTACTTGGGGAAGTAACCTCGGCAAAATTACTTGAATTATCTCAGGATCCGGACGGCTTTCCATACAAGAGTTTAAAGACGTGAATTTTTTCTTAAAATAAAGCTTGAGAAGATTTTCAATTCGTTGCTGGTATATGCTGAAGAGTTCCGCTTCTAATTTTGAACGATTTCTTACGACAGGGAAGGCTTTTACTAAGGCAGTCTTAAAATTTTCGTAAGTATAGGTGGGGCTTCCCGCTTGACCCAAGAGGTTTCTGCCTATACATTTGAACCAATTAAGCGCTTGGCCCCTCAAAGCGCTGGTAGCTAAGGTGACTTTCTGGAATTCATGGACTGGATACAGCATGAAGTGGTCATCCAATTTTTCCAAAAAACTGGTTACCGGTGAGTTTCCATTGAATGTTGCTTCTGGTTTCATCGATGCGCGCATGGTCTGGACGATGTACCCAAATCCTTCCAGTGCATAAAGTGCATAATTCCTAGTGCATAAAGTCTATATAGCAGTCTTTGTTTGCTTAGTTACAAAAGCGATTCATTTAGAAATAGTATTTGACTTAACATCTTAAGCCTTTATTGCATGTTTAAAACGATTTTTCTCGCGTAGAGGTAAAGGCTCATGTCTATTTAGTGACAATGCAACTAATTTTGTAGGAGCTCACAAAGAGTTAAAGAAACGTGCTTCTTTAGTTAGTGTCCCTGATGAAGTTTTGGGTCAGTATTTGGCATCTGAAAATATCTCTTGTAAATTAATTCCTCCTCATGCCCCCAATTTTGGTGAAATTTGGGAGGCTGGAATCAAATCTTTTAAATTTCATCTTAAAAGAACTATTTCTGATGCTAAACGTAACTCTGAAGAATTTTTAACCGTATTTGATCAAATTGCAGGAATACTGAATTCGAGATCTCTTTCTCCTTTATCGTCTGAACCACCAGATTACGAACCTTTGACACCAGGTCACTTTTTGATAGGTAGACCCATAAACTCCATTGTAGAACCTCAAATTTTAGCTCTGTCAGAAAGCAGATTATTAAGATGGCAAAATTAACTAAAATGATACAGATTATATGGAAACGATGAATAACTGACTATCTTAATCACTTGCAATAACGAAAGAAATGGTATTTTTCAAAGAACAATATAAAGAAAACTACAGTGGTTATTATTAAGGATGATCAGTTACTTCAATTTAAAGGGTTATTAGGAAGAACTGATCAGACAATTCCTGGTAAAGATGGTAAGATACGAGTAGCAGTCATTAACACAAAATTTGATCCAATTAAAATACCAATATCAAAAATTTGCTTATTGCCTATTGAGGATAACTACAAAGAATTTAATTTCATTGTTAATAAAAAAATATACATTGTTCTTTATTATACTGATATTTTGGTAATTTTGATGAAAAAATGTGAATTTTTTTACTGTTTGAAATGTGGATGTACTTACCATAATTACTGAAAAAATTTGCAAATGTTCAAACTTTATCAAATTTTCTGAATTGTTTATTTCATTCTGTAAATGATTTACTAACTTTAAGTCTTTTGTGAATACTTAAAAAAATGAGTTGCAGAATTGTTAGCATTTGATATTGAATTGTATGCTTAGATTTAGTTTTCATATCATAGATATTGCAACGTGGGGCGGTATGTTGCCTCCTACGCGGCAATAAAATTTATGTACAGCGCATTGTTCCTGCGCAATTTCAGTTACTTAAAATTCGAACTCCTAGCATAGCATACATGTTTTTTTTATCCCGTATGGTCGGGAAATCATCATTTTCGATTTTGATTTTTAGTTGTGATGCAGTCCAACAAAATAAAATTGGTTGTTGTTGTAAAGTTGTCTTTAATATATAGTCGCACCAGCGCACCTTAGAACAGTTATAATGACTGGATTACAGTCATGCGATAATTTCGCAATAAGAGGACCGCCCTCCACAGTTCCATAATTTTGGCCATCAGTAGACGTGATCCATTTAGAGAACTGGTGTTCTATTTCAGCTCGATTTATAGTCTCAGAAATATTGTTTATTTTCAGAAGTGACCGTCTTAGGTGGCCGCCACAAGATTGTTTCTTCACTTAAGTGGGTACAAAAACTTTTAAGTCTTATAAAATAGTCGATTTTCAGACTTTCACATTTTATGAATATGTAAACATTTCTAAACAAAATGCAAAAACTCTCATTGTAAAATTCACATTATTTCTTGAATTAGGATAGTTTATATCGGACAACATACCATGGACACTCGCTTAAAAAGACAACTGTGGTTATTTTTTACATTTTGATTACCCTGTGTACGAGCTCCTATTTTCATTATTACGCGCAGAAATATTTGACAACTTTTTTTAGTTTCCTTTTTTTAGGGGGAGAAGGATTGCAACAACTCAGCTTCACTGTTTGTTTACTTTATAATTCTTATTTCCATGCTGAATGGATCGTTGTTTAAGTGTATCAACACTCTATAACAAAAAAATCGACACACGAAAGAAAGAATCACCTGTTGCTTTGAAATTTTGTATGCGTAAATGCCTTGACCAAATGTGCAAATGATTAAAATTTGGTGTCCAATGAATGACTAGTGCAATCTCCAGCGCATCGGAACTGCGCATCCAACAGATGTATATAAGGAGCTGTTCTTGAACTGTTGTTAAAACCTTCTGTTGCATTGCGATTTAGGATACCTTTCAAAGACTGAAAAAATGCCTCGCCGCAGGATTTGAGCTCATTACGAGCAATTATCAGAGTTTCAAAGAGGTCGTATCATTAGATTGAAAGAGGCAGGTTGGGCAAATCGGAGAATCACTCGTCATATGAGTCAAAGCTATGCGGCTATTAGAAGGTGCTGGCAAGAATGGGTGGACAATGGTAGATTTCAACGTCATGATTGTAGCGGTCGACCTAGGGCCACAACAGATCGGAAAGACAGAGTGATTATCAGATCAGCTGCCACAGCGCCTGATTCATCGCTGTCAACCATTAGACGTGCGACCCCCCCCACACACACACACACGAGTGTCCACCATGACTATTCATAGACGGCTGATAGAGCAAAATTTATGCTCGTAGCAACCGTAACGCCACCGCCACCTGCCACTCCCGCCTGCATACTGTCGAGGCCAGATTACAGTGGTGCTTGGCTCGATCAGGTTGGAATGATGTTGACTGCGGACGTATAGTCTTTAGCGACAAATCCCGCTTCCAACTGCGTCATGACGATCATCAAAAACGCGTCTGGAGACGCCCAGAGCAGCGTGCCGATCCTGCTTTCGCTAATGCACTCCACACAGGCCCTCAACCAGGAGTTATGTTCTGGGGTGCTATTTCCCTTGATAGCCGAACCCCTTTGGTCGTCATTAGAGGCACACTTACAGCACAGCGGTACGTCGACTACATTCTGAGACCTGCTTTGCTACCGTTCCTTTTTTAGTACCCAGGCCTTATTTTTCAGCAAGATCATGCCGGACCACATACTGCACGTGTTACTATGAACTGTCTTACAGCTTGTCAAACACTTCCTTGGCTAGCTAGACCGCAAGATCTCTCTCCCATCGAGCACGTCTGGTATATGACAGGAAGGCGACTGCATCTACTAGGAAATGTTGATGACCTAGCCCGACAATTGGAGCACATTTGGCAAGAGATACCACAGGAGACCATCCGGGAGATTTATCAGTCTATACAATACCGTGTGACAGCTTGCATCCAAGCTAAAGTTGGTTCAACACCTTACTGAGCTCGTTACTTTATAACTATGTAACTCCAAAATAAATAATTCAATTGTTCTGAAATTTTAATCATTTTCTATTCAGTATATAATCTTCCTATCCACCAATTTTTGTCTCCACCGGACAATTCCTTCTTGGTGCGTCGATTTTTTTCTGTTATAGTGTGTATTTCGGTCTTTCATAGCAAGTTTGTTTGCTGAGTATATATAAAAAAAATTGTTTTGAAATTAAAAAATGAATATCAAAAGAACTTCAGTTCAAAGACCAAGGGGGAAAAAAAGAAATAATCTTCTTGGAAATCAATACACAAGAAGTAATGATGAAGAAATAAATATGTCTGCTTCAGCAAAAACTTTCTTGATCATCCAGTAGTAGTTGGTGACAGTGAAATCTGACAGCATGCAATCTTTGATGAAGCTTTATTATTTTCATGAGTAGAAGAGTACATACATATGTTGTCATATTTGATTTTGTTTGGTTTATTATAGCAAAGTACACTAGGCCTATCCGCCTAAGAGGATCTTGCCTTCGTGGAGGAATTTTTAAGGCAAATTGGCTCATATACACGTTTTCATATTTGCTATAACAAAATTAGTATTTTTTCTGAAGTAGTATAGGGCTTAACCATAAAAATAAATGTTTCATACTGCTGTTGTCGAGCACTAACATCTAAAAGAAATTCAAACCTTACAGGTGAAAAACAAAATGCTACTGATTTATATTAAAGATTTAGTTTAGTAACGAAGTCTATTGGAAAAGGATTAACGGAATCCGAAATATTTTGTGGAATTATGGATCTACCGCCATCTGTAACACAGGAATAATATGACGAAATTATAAGTCATATATATGCTTCTGCTAATATTGCAGAAAACAGTAGGAATGTAGCAGCAGACGAAGAAATAAAAATACTGGTTCTTCAGATTAGAGCATCAGCGGCGATGAGCAAGTGGAAAACCAGAGGATATCCTTCACCTTTCTGTGCAACTTCTGTTATTGATGGTGAAACCGGTAAAGTTAATGATCGTTATGTTTCGAGTTCCCACTGCAATGGCTGTGAAACTGGAAAACATATAAGTTCAAATTAAATATACTGAAAATGGAGAATGGAACATAATAAAGTATGCAATAAGAATCATTCACGTTCGTATACACAAAGTAAATATTAAAATGTTAGGCATGTGTTCTCGATCCGAAGAAAAATATAATGTTCGTTACGTTAATTATATAGGTAAAGGAGATTGTAAAATTTTCATAGCCGTTATGAAAGGTACCCCGCATAATGTTCCAGTTTCGAAGACAGAGTATGTGAACTGCATTTAAAAACAAATGGGTGCCCATTTGAGAAAACTAAAACAGGAATTCCTTGGAAAGATACTGTACGACAACGATAAAGGTCGACTCATAGATACGTTGATAAATCAATTAACAACATATTACGGTAATGCCATCAGGTTCCATTCTGACAATTACCGTGATATGCAGAAAGCTATGTGGGCTATATGGTACCATAAAAGTTCAAATGATGATGAAGTAACTTAAGACTTATACTCATATGGTAGTGATTCTTGGTGCGCGTGAAAAAGAGCTGCTGTAAGTGGCACAGATGAAAACTTTAAACATGCAAATTCATTTCCTTTAGAAGTTATGGATGCTATAAAACCAATACTTAAATATTTGCCTCACCCAGGCTTACTAAAAAGGTACTGGTGGTCGAACACAAAATGTGAATGAGTACTGGATTACACAAAATGTGAAAAATACTGGATTAGAAACACGCAATTTCAATATTTCGAAAAGGAAATCCTCGGTTTATCTCAAAAAAAGTCACTTCACAAAGTTTCCAATATTTACTTGCTGAATCCCGAGATCGACAAAGACGGAATTCTACGGTTAAAAGGCAGAATACAATTTGCCTTTTAACCTGTCTGGAATCTGCCAAGCATCCATGGATACTTCCGTCAAAATGTCGATACCACATGAAATGGTATTTCATTCTGGAGTGGACTCAACTCTGACGCACCTGCGCGAAAAATTTTGGGTTGTCAAAGGCAGACAGCGAATTAAATCCTTGTTGAGCATATGCGTGATTTGCAAATGATAGTGTTCGCCCTGGAGTTTAAGACGTAGCTCCACTTCCTCCAGATCGAATTCTTCAGTCACCACCGTTCGCGGTAACTGGATTGGACTATGCTGGACAATTTTCTCTAAAGAGAGCAACAATAAACATTACATTTTAGTATTCACTTGTGCAGTAACGCGTGCTATTCATTTAGAACTGGTAACTTCGATGAATACGGAAGTGTTTTTATTGGCCTT